ATGCTCATGCTCGCCTTCTGGGGTATTTTGGTGGCTGGACAACATACTGATGTGGAGCGATAGAGTATTGTGGGTTCTGAGGTGGATAGAAATGCTCAGGGGAGTCATGGGAAACCTGATGAGGCTGCGCATACCTTCGAGGTGTTTTCCTGGGACCTCTTCTCGAACCTGTTGTCATCATGATTTCTTCATCATTCTCATTCGTGCCACTGAAATTATCAAATTCAACTTGGAGAGCCTGAGTTGCGGCTTTAAGAACTGCTTGACTTATAATTTTGCCTGTCTTAAGACCGTTCTCGACTATTTCTCCCATTTTGATTGCTTCCGAGAAGGATTTGCCAACTGCGGCCATCATGTTTTGAAAATAACCTGGCTCTTGAGCGTGAAGGAAGACAGTGATTAGCTCGTGGTCGTCCATGGGTGTCTTAACTCTAGCTGCGTGCTCTCTCCATTTAATGGCATATTCCCTGAAACTTTCAGTTGGTTTCTTCTTCAAGTTTGAAAGGGAATTACGGTCTGGGGTAATGTCAATGTTGTATTGGAACTGTTTGACAAAGGCCTGTGCCATGTCATCCCAGACATACCAGCGAGACGTGTCTTGATCCATAAACCATTCGGAGGCTACTCCCGTAAGGCTTTCTCCAAAATAAGCCATCAACAATTCTTCATTTCTTCCCGCACCTCTCAGTTGATTGCAATACCTTTTCAGGTGGGGTATGGGATCTCCATGTCCATCATACTTTTCAAATTTGGGAGTCTTGGAACCAGGTGGCAAGGGGACATCGGGGAACATACATAGATCTTTGAAGGCAACACTCTTTTGACCTACCAACCCTTGCATGTTTTTCAACCATTGTTCTAAGCTTTTTACTCTTTGGGTCATTTCTTTCTGTATCATCTTTCGGGCAGGCTTCTCAATCTTTGCAGGAAGATCGAATGATTACGAGTGGTACTCAGGAGAGTGGACTTGTAACAGCTTCAATGTCAGTTATCATTTATCCTTAGATCTTGTGTTTCCAGCTTACCACAAACCGAGCACCTCAACTTTCTTCACAATTCAAAACAAAACATGTTAGAATGGACTCAGTCAGTCCTTATTATTATCAATATTTTTTCATTTCTTCATTTTTTTCATTTCTTTTTAATGGTGATCGAACCTGATGTGGGTTGCCCACGTATCATGTGGGAACATGAATCAGATCTTACGTAGTTCGGGAAGATTGGGAATAAAGTAAATAAACTAACTCTTTTTTTAGATTTTTTTAATTTTTTTTTTAAATTCCGAAAGAGAAACTTATAAAGAAGAAAGCAAATATTTTTGGATTTAGATTTGTTTGTTTTTTTTTAAAAAAGAATTTTTTAAAAGAAAGACGTCTAAAAAAGAGAAAAAATATAAATTTTTTCTGAATTTTAACTTCTTTTTCTTTTTTCTTTTTTTTCTGAAAATTTCGGAAGAAAAACTTCTAAAGAAGAAAGGAAATATATTAGGATTTTTTTGGACTTTTATTTTGGGATTTATGAAGGAAAGACTTCTAAAGAGAAAACAAATTATTTTTGAAACTTGACTTTTTCTTTTCAAATTTCGAAAGGTGAACTTCTAAAGAAAAATGAAATATTTTTGGACTGTTTTATGAAAATTGTGGGCTCGAAGAAAGACTTTTCTAAAGAAGGAAGTAAAGGAAAATATTTTTGGATTTGAAAATTGGGGTCTAAAATAAGGACTTTTCTAAAGAAGGAAGTAAAGAAAAATATTTTTGAATTTTTAAAAAAATATTATGGGACGGAACCAATGAAGTTTGCCTACGTTTCTCACATCCGGTGAGAATCAGACCCGCGTAGTTCGCCCAATTTTGACGGAACAGAAAAATATGACTTGTTTTGAAATGACCTCTTTTTCCATTTTTTAAAATTTCGGCAGAGTTTCAGGATATTTCAAATACCTCCATCTCACTCTCTGTTTTTTTTTCTTNTTTTTTTTTTTTTTTTTTTTTGATTTTTTCCTTTTTCTCTTTTTTTCATTTTCTTTCCTTATTCTAGAAGCCAGTCAATATGCAAGCCGAAACAGAGAGATACGCAAGTAGCACGTAAGATGCATCGGAATGGTCTTTTAATTTGGGTGCACTAGTCCTAGACGGACCCAACCCCTGTGTTGAGTCCCCAAAGTCAAATGCACGTGATGCAAACAAGCGTTACTACTAGGGATCCGGCATGAGGCTATGTTATTCTAGGTTTAAAACCTAGGTGTATTGTTCTAGACCTGGCTTACCCGAGCGGATAGCTCGAGCCGGAAGGGGCAGCGTACCGGGAATATAGAAGCATTGCAACTTATCCGAACCTCATTCTAAAATTGAGATATGACTCTAACAGAAAAGAAGTCACACGAAGTGCACACTTCCCAGATGATTTAGAATACTCAGAGAGACGAAGGGTTTCGTAACAATTTATATACAGTTCAAGCAAAATCAAAGCGATAAAAACGGCATTTAGCACATTAGGCTCGAACATGTAAAAATCAGATAACAAATAAAATCCAATCATAATAGCTATTCTAAGTTCGAATTCTGAACCCTGAACCAGAAGTTCTGGGTTCTTTTCCCCAGTAGAGTCGCCAGAGCTGTCACACCTCCTTTTTTACCTACACCCACGTAAAGGGGTATATAAGGGAGTTTTTCCAATTTAAGTGACAATCGAAATAAGATTTATTTATTAGAGATTCTGAGTCACTACTTGGGATAATTTTATGGTGTCCCAAGTCACCGGTTCAAATCCCGAATCGAGGAAAAGATTGACTCTGTTTTACAGTCCGCGAACAGAAATTCTGAATAAGGAGTTCTGTTAACCGGGGGGAAGGTGTTAGGCACCCCCGGATTCCGTGGTTCTAGCACGGTCACTTAAACTATTACAATTGGCCTATTATCTGATTTTAATACATGTTTTAAACCTATGGTGCAATTTTTAACTTATTAACCACTTTCAAATATTTTAGGGAAGATTTCAACATTATCTAAAACATATCTTTGGACCACACCACATGAAAGGCACCCGCAGTCCGAGACACATTTTATCTAACGTTGCTAAGATTTGGAGTTGGGTCACGTAAAATGCACACCCGAATTTGGAATTAGGCATCGTAACTATGTCATGGGAACTGTACCCATATTCACAATGGTTTATTAAATCGCGCCCAAAGCCAGCTACATCGTTTGTGATTTATGGATGTATTGTGAATAAGTGTAACATTTAGATATTATTGTAATTAAAGAGATTATCTATTAGATTAAAAAAATTATCATTTAAGAAGTTGCAAATAAAATAAACTATTCAAAATAAGTGAAGATAAAACCAATGACTAAAACAATGGTATGTGAATACAGATAATTGCTACAACGTCAACATAGGGTTCCTCGCTTCAAGCCATACGCGTTTCTTTAAAACGGAGTTATCAAACAAATGGACGATATGATTGAAACCAACTTTGACAACTTAATACTTTGCTTGCAAGATTTATGATAAGTGTATATTGTTATTTTGGGACCCAACAAACAAATAAATAAATATATACAAAACCAAAATAAAAGTTTTGTGATCCACAAATTTGAAATAAACACCCAATACTCATTCAGGATTTTCAACTATGCCAAGTAAAATGATGAACTAAACATAAGCACTCATAAACAAAGTTCAATCCTCTAAAACTTGAAGTTAAACCGAAATACGATGACCCAAATTATTGAAGAGGAAATAAAATAGAAAGAAGCTGAACCTTTATGTAGATGGCTGTGAACTTTAATTACAACAGCTCAATTATCAGGAAGCTTTCAAATGGAGCCTTTCGGATCGCGGAAACCTCAGGCGATCAACTACAGTTCTAACGAAACCCACTTGTTTCCCCCAACTCGAACCCGACTCAAGAAAGTCGGCCAATCTCCAGTTGTTTAAGAGGTGGTTTGGGGTGTTTTAGATCTGAAAATGGTGGTCGTTTTCAGTCTTTTTTTTAGACTGCTCTTTGCTGCAATTTTGGTGGTGTTCATGGTGTTGTTGCTCGGCTGGAGGTGATGGCTGGTGGAGTAGAGGGGTTCTGCCGCTGGGGTTTTTAAACTCAGGATTGGTGCTGCTTCTTTGCTAAAGAAGAAGATGCCCGCCGCATTTCTTTTTTTTTGGGTCGTCAACAATGAAGAAGAACGGCGGGCAGGGGGGTCCTTTTTCAGAATTTGCGGCGCTGCCTGTCAGCCTTCTACAGATTTGTTTTAGGCGTTTTTTCTTCTCTCTTTGTATGGTTTTTATATCTTCTATATCTTGGGGAGAAAGTTAATGTATAGTTCCCCCTCTAAAGGAAAATGTCGGAAAAATGATAAAGAAAATCCAATTTTGTTAGGTGAGCACGTGATTTTAGAGGAAAGATGGAAAATGAGGACCACTAAAATATTCCTTTGATTTCTTTCATTCCTTTTCTTTCTTCAGTTTCCTCCTTCCGTTTTTTTCAAACTTTGTTACTCTTTTTCATTTCTTTGCTTTTCTTGTTTTTTGTTTCAATCCCTTTGTTTGTTTTGTGTTTTTTTTTCATTTTTTATTCTTTTTATGATTAACTAAAAATACTATTTATCTAAATAACATGAAATATTAAAAAGAAATTAAGATAGCTCTATTAAAGTAATTTAAATACTATTTGATATATATATATATATATTTAAAACCTACAACTTAATACTAAACTAAGTAAATATATTATTATTTTTTTTTTGAAATTTCTTCTTATCTTTTTTGGAAAATAAAATATCAAGGCTATTTTGTATTTTTCAGGAGTAAAACTAACTATACAAAATATCAACTAGCTAAAATAAGGGAAAATATTTTTTGTAGTTTTTTTTATTTTATTTTTTAAGATAAGATAGAGCAAAAGAGTTCAAACTAGTAAAAATAGCAAATTAGACCAAAAAGAAATATATAAACCCTAAGATGTGTAAAATTTCGGGAGGGTCAAAATTTACATATCTAGAATCTTAACTCGTCTTATCAGCCATATTGGATCGCTCTTGGTCATATGACGCAGCGAGCTCAAAAAGAGAATCCAGTAAACTTTCTAATGGAGAAAGATCCAAAATATTTGTCTTCTTCATATCCTCGAAAAGAGAATCCAGTAAACCCACTGGGGGGTGTTTCTCTATATCTGTTGAAGCGCATACCATCTTTTTCAAAGTTGCCTTTGAGGATTTAAGCTTCCTTTTCTTATGTTGTGTAACTACTTTAGGGGTTGGAGTAGGTAATTCTTTGACTTTTGAGAGCGTCTTTCCAACACCTTGGTCTTCACCTCCTAAAGGAGTAGTAGATTTTAGCCCAACACTCTCTACCATAGCTTGTAAATTATTCTCAAGAAACTTCCCATGCACTTTCTCCTATCAAGACATATAATTGGTGGAGAAAGATTTCTCCACAGGATCTCCCGTTGGAGGAAAAGCCTCACATGACATAGACCGATACAGTGTGCAAACCCTCCAAAATCTGAGACCTTCATCTAGAGAGGCGCTACGAATATTATTCTCTACAAAATCGAAGACATTCTGGTAAAACCCAAATTAATGACCAAACTGATGCGGGCTATGGATCGATGATGAATGAGTTATCATACCTCAAAAGGAGGTAATTAAAACGTAAGCACATGAAGTAATTTGACTCCAACTCTTGAGGGGCATCGTTATCCACTTAATAATAAGGACGAGAATTGGTTAACATTGTTGGTGTCCAAACTATATCCTCCCTATTATGGATGCATTTTCTTGCATTATTTTCGTCAAAGTACCTCGCAGCTCCTTCTCCTGAGTATGCCACCATCAAAGGGACAGACGGAGCCTTAACAAATGGATAATGGGTTTTGAGGTAATGTGTGAGCCAGCCGTAAACATAATGGATGGAAAAATAAACTTTGACTTGATCAAGTTGGGAAGAACACGAAATCTTATTCAAAGCATGATAAATACTCACCAAAACTGGGATCGCAAGGCTAATCTTTCACCTGCTTGCCATCATGCTTGCTATCTTAAAAGTCTCGGGATGAATGAAGTTCTCTGCCTTATAGGGAAACACAAAATCACATAGCCAAATTGATAAGAAGGCTGCTATATATGTTTCATCTTTCTTGTCAGACCTCGCCCTAAGCTTGAAAAATGTTGCTTCTTGATCACTCGACCACCTAGTTGTCTCGGGAATAACTCCATTAGGATTATGTGTTGACTTTAAGCGCATGGATTTCTCTTTACTTCGCAGTGGGGAGAGTTTATATATTAAAGCTTTTTTATACCAAAAATTTGTCTACTTGCTCAAGGAGACCTTTTGGTTAACACCCGTACCTTAAGGTGATGAAGGCAGCAAATAAATACTCGCAAGATCGAGGAATAAATATCATCTATTTTTCGTCAAAACCGATGAGTCCTCTTGTCTCAGGTACCACTTCTTCATATGTAGAACCCGCAATGGGCAGACCTCCAAGGATATGTAAGTCCCAAAGAGAGATAGATAGTTCCCCAGCTGATGTAAGAAGCGTGTTCGACTTGGGGTACCAAGGCTCATAAAATGCTTGCAAAATGTTCGAGTTTCGATCATAAGAGAAAAGTGAGGCACAGACAACATCATAAATCTTTGTTGTACTCGGGGTTTGTTGGGTTCTACCAAGTACATATTCAACCCATTCCCAATATCCTAGAATATGACGATACTCGCCCTCGATTGTTGTTGTGCTTCTCCAACGTACTTTACCTTGAATTATGTGACGCTCTAAGTTTGAAGGGTGCTAGTAATGTTTACGTGGCGATGGATTGGCGCTTGGAGAGACCACATCTTGTACAATGGATTAGAAGTAGACTTGTGCTCCAAGTTCCAGTTTTCTACATGAAGGGAGTTCCTCAAAGAAGGCCATGAGGCTACATACCGACCAGCTTGTGGGGTGTGAACCAAAAGCTTGGTTTGTTCTATGCCATCTTCACCCTCGATTACGAGATATATAAGTTTGGAGGAAAGTGAGGTATAGTCTCTGAAATTTGCAATCTCTTCGGGATGCAAAGAAGGAAAAAAAAAATCATCAAATTCTAAATCAAGAATATTAGAAGGGCACAAAGGTCTAAATGGATAAAATGGCCTTCAATATTCGGGCCACTTTGAGAGTAATCTCTCCAATAGTCGGGTCATCTTGAGAGTAACCTCTCTGATAGTCAGGTCATTTTGAGAGTAATCTCTCTGATAGTCTAGCCATACTGAGAGTAATCTCTCCGATAGTTGGATCATTTTGAGAGTAATCTCTCCGATAGTCGAGCCACATTGAGAGTAATCTCTCCGATAGTCGAGTCATTTTGAGAGTAATCTCTCTGATAGTCGGGTCATTTTGAGAATAATCTCTCTGATAGTCGGGTCATTTTGAGAGTAATCTCTTCGATACTCGGATCATTTTGAGAGTAATCTCTCCGATAGTCGAACCACATTGAGAGTAATCTCTCCGATAGTCGAACTACATTGAGAGTAATCACTCCGATAGTCGAACCACATTGAGAGTAATCACTCTGATAGTCGAGCCATATTGAGAGTAATCACTTTGATTATTGGGCCATGAGAGTAATCTCTCCAATATTTGGATCGTGATGAGCACCCTAAGGTGACCTTCTTTATGGATCATCTCATTAAACAAACTTGTTTGACATTAAAAAAAAAACAAGCAAGGCAAAACGACGACAAAAAAATGCACAGAAGAAGAAAATTACCTTGAGCTTGCTTCCTAGCTGTGAAAATATGGAGACAAGGTAGCCTTCAAATGCTTTAATTCAATGCTCAACAAATATAGCGGTATGAGGTTTACATAGACATCCAAATACGTCTATTAGTGGAATGATTTTGGATGTGGGATCAAGTGTTAAGAGGCGGCGTTGGTGTCCTTTTCCTAGTTGGATTAAAGTCCTTCTCCAATTATGACTCATCAGGTAGAAGAAAAGCTGACTTCCGTACAACTTGCAACGTCCCGTATCGGTGGAGTTGCTATTGCAAGCCTTGTCCGGGTATAATTCTAATCCCATGGAAATAAGGTATTGTTTATCACATGGATAGACATACTTGATCAAAGGAATACTTCTATGTGGGCCCACTGGTCAAAAGAATGTATCTTTCTTTTTGAATGTGCTGCTGAAGTTCTATAGCTGAATATGCCACAAGTATAAGCAAAGATATCTTGAGATTGGTATATGTATTTGAAAGTGCACTTGGCCAAAATGTACTACATTAGCTTATTAGAAATAATTACTTTCAGGAGGTGCATGGACAACTATATATCCCACTGTATTATATACGCATATAAATGATATATGTGTATTATGTACGTTATACTTCAAAACTTGTCATGGATGTTAGGTGATGTCATACCCCGGCAAAATTTGAAGTATGAGACATTTGTAGGCATATAAATTTTATTAAAATTAAATCCTTAAAATAATTTGGATTATATTTTAAATTCAATATATATTGGTCCAAATAAATACTATGGGCTAATATAACTGAATTACTGATATAAGTCCAATATATATGGATTAAATAAATAAGTCTTAATCCATTGGGCTAAAGTGATGAGCCTACTTCATTAAGCCCAAGATGTCATCTTCCTAGAGGTCCAGTTTGATGTCACGTGTCAAATGACGTGGCATGCCTAGTCAAGTAGAAGAACCAATAGGATCGCGCCACGTGTGCAAGTGACATATTCTGGTCAATCAAGTGCGACCTTGTCACACTTCAATTTGATTGGTCGAACGGAGTTTGTTCTTATCATAACTCTTCCCTCTCACAATTATAAATAGAGGTCTTCATAACTCAGAAAAGACACCAAGTTATAACAAGAAGCAAGAAAGAGCTCGTAGATCATATACTGCAAATTCCTCTACAAGTTTCAAGCTTCAAGCAATCAAGTTCAAGCTCAAGAACGAAGAACAAATTAAGGTTAAGTTCAACCAATCAAGCTAAAGCTCAAGAACAAGATCATCGTTCGTGGCGACAACTACATATTCAAGATCAAGCTCAAAAACCCTTGAATTTATTTATTATTGAAAAGAAGAATCAGAGGATTCATAGAGATTGTACACTCATATTATTTGAAATAAAATACTACAATTGTTGCAATAGTTTCCAGTCTTGTTTTATTTTCTAGACANTTTTATTTTCTCGACGCAAATTTATTGTCTACAAATGTATTTCCACTAAATTGTAATGCAACAATTATTTGTTGTGGGGTGTTTAATTTGTTGTATTAAAGAAATTAATTTTGTAGATAATGAGGATATATTTTAGTTTATTTGCTCCATGTATTGTAATATTCGAATTTTATTTCATGTTCAATTCTAGAAAAAATAATAGTACATAGAATCCCGCATAACTTTTACATGTATTATTTTATGGGAAAAACTAACATAGCAACCAAACAATGTATAAAACAAATCAATATCATCTAATCAAATTTCAACCTTATGATTTATTAATATAAGACTTATGCACTAATATTATATGTAATATTTTAACACTATCAGTTAAGTCACTCGACAATGACAAGTAACTATTTATTACAGATATGATCTGATCACTTGGTAAATAAGCAATTTTTTTGGTGTAACATATTAAATTACACTAGTAATGTTAAAAAAAAATCTTACTTTACAAATGTGTAAAACTTAAAGACTATTTCTATTATTTTATTTTCAGATCTCATTATCATTGGGATTTGGATAAGCATAAGAAATTCAATAGTAATTGCGGGTTTCTCATATTATGCCCTGTTATTATCAATTGTAATTGCGGGTCCTCCCTTAGCTGATTGTAAATTGTAATAATGAGATTCATCTCTCCCAATATATGTCAAAAACATTTTTTTCCCACGCATATGGACTGTATGCCTGTTTCCAGTGTTATCTTGTTCATCTTTCTACTGAAAATGGCTTTTGCTATTCTCCATTTGTTGGTTATATATCAGGGGTGACAAAATTAATTCATGAAAATATAATCCGTCCAATGCATCTAAGTTTGTGTGTATTGGTAGAAAATAGATCTACCACATGGGCTAATTGGATCTTGACACGTGTCAAGAGCATTAGAAGATCATAGAGAAATTCTAGTCCCATATCAGTTGATATAAAGTCCTGATTAGTTACAGATTCTTAGTGTAAGAGGTGGAAAGTGCAGTTAATGGGCATAACGGGAGAGGAAGATATTAGGGGAACAATTACGTACAGCCTCTTTCCCAGCTTTGTACGCCATCTAAACGACCATTTTTTACTCTCTAATCACAACATTGCATTTGGTAACTAACACTGTGTTTGGATCATTGTTCCCCATCATTTTATAATGTATTGTATTGTACTGTATTGTATCATTTTGATGGATACAACGTTTGGATAGACTGTATCATTTGCTGTTGTTAAATAACATCTTTATTATTTGGTTTGACTGTATTGTACTGTACTGCTAAGTTTACTAAAATACCCTCAATTATTTTAAACAAGATATACATATAGAAAAAACAAATGTAAGAACATACTAAAACAAGTATTCATGTGAATAACATTATCCATTTTGTTTTCACATCCAAATGAAAAACCATTACTTTTTTTTAGTTCAAGGATGTTGATGCAAATATTGTTCATATTCATGTTTATATTTATAAATATCGCTCTTTACGATTGCGCGATGCCATCCTTTATAAGTAGGATTAAAAACTCTTCTAATATAATGCACAAAATGAAGGTTAGAAGGAAAACTATAGGGTAAGCATATAACATTAACCATTTTTGTCAATTCTTCACGATCTTTATTTGGATCATAATATAAAATATCACCGGTAACAGTGTTAATTCCCGGTTGAACTAGATTTGAACTTGTACTAGGGTTAACCGTAGTATCTACACTTGTCCCCTCTTGCGCAACTTTTATTTGTAAAAATCTNTAATTATAAAAAGTTTGGGGTTAAAGCAAAGTTTGGGGGCCAAATGACTATTTTTTAAAGTGCATAACGGACCAATTTTGAAGCCCAACAGTCAGATTTTAAAATCTAGCCGTTGGGCAAAAATAGAACCGGCCTAGGCCTGCCTGCCGGTCCCGGGCTTAACGGTCCCGGGATCACGGGCTATTTGTGTTGAACCGGCCCGCCACGGTCTTTTGCACCACTTAAGCCCAGGCCCACTTGAACCGGCCCATTAGGCCCGTTTGGACCGCGGTCTTGGGCCGGTCCCAGGCCCAGACCGGCCCACAGTACAGCCTTACTCCTAACATTATTAAAAGACAGAAAATATTTGATAGTATAAAATTACAAAAAGCTCTAATATAATCTAAACAACAACGTTTCATGGTCCGTGTCTTGAAAGTGACAAGCTGAAGCTCACAGAACTACTTCCAAGGAGTTCAACAAAAATGCAACCAACAGACCATACATCAATGGAAGTTCCATAGTTGTCACAACAGAGCAGGAGCTCCGGTGCCCTATACCAGTGCGTAACAACATACTCAGTCATGAACTGGCCCTTGCTATTGTTTGTACGTGCAAGACCAAAGTCACAAATTTTTAAATCACAGTAAGCATTGATAAGTAGGTTTCCAGGTTTCAAGTCACGATGAAGAATGTTTGCAGAATGGAGATACTTCACACCTCGAAGCAACTGGAATAGGAAACACTGGCAATAGGTAAACCTTTAGATGAACTCAATCCACACAATTCAACAGATAGAAAAGTAACTCCATGAAAATCTGAAAATGAGGAAAAAATAAAGAAAAAGATGATATTGTTCCATATCTCAAAGAAACTAAAATCCACATGAAGTGGAGTAATCACTACTAAAAATATCTGTTTACCGACATACTTTTTTCCGTCGGTATTCCGAAGGACTTTCCCACAGAGTCTCTCGGTACTTTTGAGCTTTTTAATTTTTAATTTTTTAAAAAGAGAACGGACGGACTTCCGTCGGTAAATAATGATATTTTGACAGGTCAAAATTTAAATGGTTATACTGACGGACTCCCTCAGAATATTTTGTATTTATATTTTTGAATTATTTTTTTTAGGTACCGACGATGTCTCTCGATACTTTAAAAAAATAAATAAAGTTATCGACGTAGTCAATCCTACTGCATTTACATAATAATTTAAATTTTGTTCTTACAGTACCGATGGACTTCCGTCGGTAATTTAAATATATAATCTTATAGATAATTATTTTGTATTTTTTATTACACAATACCGAAGGAGGTTGTCGGTAAGTCCCTCGATAAGTATTTACTTAATTATCTTAGTGGTTGATTAGCTTATTTATTGAAATTTACACTAAGTGGAGGTAATACACTACTTAAAAATATATTAGTGGTAATTAGCTTAGTAATTTATAATCACACAAAGTAAAAGTAAATTTGTAGTATCCTTAACTACATAGATTAACCTATACATTAATAATTACACACTAAAAAGAAGTGTATTAATTGTTTCCGTAAGAAATATTAGTGATGGTTTATCTTATAAATTGATAATTACTGTAAGTAGAAGTGTATTAATGCATGATGTCCTTAAGTAACGTTAACAATTAGTGAACTAGTGGTATCCTTATATAAATAACGTTAGTGATTGATTAGCCGATATATTGATAATTATACACTAAATAGAAGGGTATTAATGATATTTGTGAGAAATGTTTGCCATTGTTTATCTTTAGTTTGATAATTAAAGTGGAGGTTTATTAGTGGTATCGTTAAGTAATATTAGTAGTATTCTGAAGTAACGCTAGTGATTCATTAGCCTATACATTGATAATTATACTAATTAAGTATGTATTAGTATAGTCTTAAAAACTATTACTGATTCATTAGCTTATGCATTAAGAATTACACTAAGTAGGAGTGTATTAGTAATATCAGTAAGAAATGTTAGCGATTGATTAACTTATAAATTGATAATTACATAAAGCAGATGCATATTGGTGGTATGCTTAAGTAATGTTAATGATTGATTAGCATATCTATTAGTAATTACACTGGTTAAGTAAAAGTTTATCAGTAGTAGTATTAAGAACTATTACTAACTGATTAGCTTATACCTGAGAAATGTTAGCGATTAATTTGGTTATAAATTGATAATTACAAAAAATAGATACGTATTTGTGATATCCTTAATATATATATATATATATATATATATATATATATATATATATATATATATA